TCAAAGAGGCCCCGGAGAGGCCTGTCGCGAAATCCCAACGAACATCCAATAGGCTCATACCCACAACCCAAGCACGGTGGCGGAATGGGCCGAAGGCGGTTAAACATTCGAAAGCCAGAAAGGTCTGTGCCAACAAACAAGCAAACCGAGCAAGAAAGGCCCACGGTCTGCTCTGAAAACACAAGCGTCTGGGCCACTGAACAAGCAAATCATCCGAGACATCCTGGCCATTGTTTTGAAATCACTAGAATGTGGGCCACCTAACAGCCAACAGACCTGACGCACCCCCACAATTGGACCGCAAACCAAAAAGTGAAACCACTCCTGGCGTTACCCACGGGACGCCAAAGCCAGCACATCGGTTGTGACATCCCCGCATGCAGCTCGGACAGCCCGAAGGTCTAGGCCAGCAAACATCAAACAACCGCCTGGAAACATCCCCTCATTCTAGCCGCGAGCGGGGGGGCGAAACCACCAACTGCGGCGACCCTGAAACCAGGGAGCTGGCTGCTCTGCCAGCAACAGAATCTGAACCACCCAACAAGCAAAACGCCTGACACACCACAATCAGACCTCGAATGCAAAGATGAGACCACCTTTGGCAGCTCCCCGCTGGGATGCTGAAACCAACAAATCGGCTGCGACATTATCACGTTCCGCACGGAAAGCAGGAAAGCCCGGGCCTTCAAACAAGCAGACCGCCTGAGACATCTCCACAATCTACTCGCGCACAGGGGCGTGACACCACCCCGAGCGGTTCCCAGGGGCTAGAAAACAACGACTTGGCTGAGACGTCCTCTCATTCTTCTCTGAAGAGGAATCTGGGCCACCAAACCTGCAACAAACCCCAGACATTCCCACGCTCTGGCCGCGAACGGGCGGCTACACCCCCCCTGGCGCCCCCCCAGTGAAGCTTGCAAATCTGCCCTGCTGTCTGCTGCGAAAGCAGCGGAGCCGGGGCCTTCAAACAGGAAAACCGCCTTGCACATATACAGAAATCTGGCCGCGAACGGGGGGCGGAGCCATCCCTGGCGGATCCCCGTCGGGGTGCTGAAGCCAGCGCGTCGCTAGAGATTTCTTTACGACGCACAGATCTGAATGCTACTCCTTCGCAAGTGCAAGTGCACATGAGGCCGATTGTGTGTGAGTCTGACTGCGAATGACTCCAAATTGTGAATCTCAATGTGAGTGGGTCTGGGCATGTATGGCCCTGGATAGAAGCGAATCTGAATGTGAGTATGTCTAAGCATACGTGAGTCCGAAGGCGATTGGGTCTACGTGCGCGTGAGTCTGAGCTGGGACAAAGGAGGATGTGAGTGAGCTGGGCGTGACTGAGTCTCAGCACGAATGAATGAGAATTCGTTTGGTTGCGACCATCTCCCAGCACCCGCTCCTGGAATTCACGCTCTGACTGCGGCGTGCGCCCCCCGCGCGACCCCGCCTTTTTATCCTCCTTCCTTGTGCCGCAATTTGTCTCTGGAGCGCCCCTCCCGTTGCTCGACCCTGCGGGCTTTAACGAATTGCTTGCGCCATGTAACGCGCTCGCTGCCGCTGCCAGCGAGCGAGCGGCGTGGGCCGCCACGGCAGCCCCTAGCGCCCCACGGAACTTTCTGAATCTCACGACATTTGCCACGCCCGCCCCCGCCTACCGCCAATCGCGCCCGCGGCAAAACGAGGCGACACAGATGCACTGTTAGTTCGCGGTCGCAGCGGGCGGGAGGCCACGCTAGTCCAGCCCTGGTGCCTGGCGCCGCGGCGCGGGATCGAAGCTCGCATGGCAACAATACACGCGTGGCCCGACGGCCCAGACGCGTGGCCCGACACCTTGCGTTCTGACCAGGCTAACCTCACGCCCCACATGTCAATGGCAATGGCATCTCGGTCGTCGGGCGCGCCCCGTCCATGATGGGAGCGGCTTTCCTGCATGCGTTCTCCTCCGCCGCCGTGGGCTTCTCCGCTATTCCAGGAGACGCTTGGGCCAGCTCGTTGGTTCGCCTCGATCTGGGGGCGCCGCGCCCCGAGCGCGCCGCATTCTTGCCATGCTCGTCCACCAATTGCAATTTCGCCTCAGGATCCGGGCCGGCCTCGCCGCCCGCCCCCACGCCGCTCCGCGCCATCGCGCGGGCATTCCGATTCCCTCTTGGCGCGGGGCTCGTCCTCCTGCTCTTCTCGCGGTTCACCCGGGCCCGCTGCCGCCAGCGCGGCCACCGCCGCCGCCTGGGCCAAGCTGGCCGCGGCTCCTCCCAAGGCTTCGGCCGGGCCGTCCTCGGCGCCCCGATGGGCCCCGCCGAGCGCTCCGCCGCGCGGCGCCCGCCATTCTCCGGCGACGCGCCGGCGGCGGCGGCGCGCTCCGCCCCCGGCGCCAGCGCCCGGGCACCTGCGGCCTCAGACTTGGCCAATCCGGCAGCGGAGAACCTGCCTCCCTTGGGCTCCTGCGGCCGCGGGGGGGAGCAAGCGTTCGCGGGCGGCGGCGTGGGCGGGCCTTGGAAGAGAGAGGGGGCTCCGTAACTGCTGAGCTCAACGGCAATTGAGCAAGCCCCTCCCTCTTTCTCAGACTTCTCCCCCTTTAAACCCCGCGCCCTCAGCCGCCGCGACGAACTGCCGCGTTTAAACGGTACGGCTCACAAAAGACGCAAAACATGTCGAGTCGGCCCTGCTGAGCCACTCGCCACTCGCGGGGGGGGGGGACAGACCCGCGACCCCAAAAAACAAACAGAAGAGCGGAGCACGCCATGCGCCGCGGTCAGCTGGGCGGCGGCGCGCGCTGCCCTCGGCGCCGGCGCCTCGACCCCTGCGCCCCCGGACGCCGGCCAGCGCGGCGGCGGCGAGCGCCTGCTCACCCCGCATCGCTCACTCAGAGCCCGGCATCTTTCGCGGACGCGACCCCGCATCAAAGCTGGCGCGCGGCCTCGGCGGCGGCGCCCCGCGCGCAAGTCGCTCGCGCGCGACGCTCCAAGCCCACCTGGAATGCTTCGCTACCAGCTGATTCACGCAGCGCTTAGAGAGCACCCTGACGAGCGCCGCCGAGAACGACCCCCACCACGACGGCCGCGCGCGCACCTCGCTCGCGCGGCGGCGGCCCACCACCATCGCGAGCGACATCTCGAAGATGGGCGTCGCCGCTGCGAGGGCGGCGTCAGGGGGCCCCGCTGTTGCCCAGCTTGTAACAACTGGGCCAGCGCTACCTATTCGAAGGCCTCTGCCTGGTCCAAGACTACCGCGGCGGCGGTGACTGCCTCCTCCTCCGGCGACTCCTCCAGCGAATCCGCCGCTTCGCGGGCAACCGGCGCACCCCGCGCCGCCGCCTCCGAAGCGGCCCCGCGCCCCCGTTTGCGCGCCGGCCCGCTGCATCAGGCACGGGGCGCGCATCTGTTCCCGCGCGCGGGCGCAGGCGGGCGGCAAGCCGACGGCGCGGCCCTCGATGGCTGACTTAGTAATTGAAGAAAAGAACGCCGCGACGCGGTCGGCCTGCTCGGGCCGGGCCAAGGCGCGCGCTCGACTTCCCCCTGTGGACCGAACGCCTCGTCTCCCGCGTCGGGGATCCACTGCAACATCTCGGGGCGCCAATGGTCGATGCCCGTCTTCGCTGCGACGCGCCTGGCGGCTGCCGCCGCCGCGCCTCGCGCGCAGGGGAGAGGTCTTACCTCGGCGGCGTGAGACGCGGCCTCTGTTCTTGCTGCGCACGCTCGGCACAGCGGACTACTCCGCGAGCGCTTTGGCCGCCGACTTTTTAGGCGCCGCCGAATCTGAAACGGCTGGAACGGCGCGACGGGCCTGCCGAGACTTCGGCCGCTCCAGCCAGCTGTCGTTCCAACTGGCGACCCGATTTACCCGCGCTGCGCCCGCTGCCGCTGCCGCGGCGGCTTGCATGGCGGCGCCCTCGCTCCACTGCTCGGGGGCGGCATCTGCTGCCGCTCCATGCAGACCTCGTGGCCGCTCGACCTCGCCCCACATCGGCGCGGCCGCCTGCGGCGCGGGCAGGCGTCTGCCAATGGCGCGCAACCTTTTCCTTCCAGATGAGCTTTTCGCTCCCCCAGGTGCCCGGGCCCCCGGCCCGGCCGCTCGGGTGCTTCTCGAAGACTGCGCACCTCTGCGCGGCCTTCTCGCGCAACACCTGGTGATCGCTGGTCGCGAGTAGGCCGAGCACTTCCCCCGCCGCCTCCACAGACGCCCACCGACTCCAACTGCGACGGCGTTGCCCCTCGCCGCTGCAGCCGCAATCTCCCCGCGCTAGCGCAGCCTGGCATCGCGGTCATCCAGCTCGGGCACTCGACGCCCATGACGCTGCGCGCCGCCTGCTCGGTCTGGGCCCCGACGCACCCCCACGCGCTAGTGGCCCCGCCTCCCGCGACGAGACCGCCGGCGCGGGGTCGCGCCCCGGCGGCTCTCGCGGGCGCCCCGCGATGCGCGGTGGAAGGGCCCCGGGCCGCAATAAGAAACCCTCCCGCGCGGCGATGGGACCTATTGCCAGCTCGAGCCCGACTGGCTTGCGCGGAGCATTCCCCCACTCCTCATCGACCCACGCGCTGATCTCCCTCGCCCCCGAGCGCGACGAAATCAAGGAGCAATCCAGTGCGCGGCATGCTGCGCCGCTGCGGCACGTGCCCAGCTCCGCCGTAGAATGCGCCGAGATGACCCGCCCTGCTCTCGCGCCGCAGCTCGTCGGGCGGCCGCCAGAAAGTGCCCCCCTGCGCCCGCGGCAGCCCGGCGCGCTGCAGCTGACCTAGCGCGCGCCCCAGGAGGTCCTCGATCGTTCCCTCGAGGCCGGCGCCCGTTCATGGGCGCGCCGCGACTGGGGCCCCGCCCCATGGCCGCCCGCGCCATGGCTGCCCGACCCTTGCTTCCCCGCGGCGCGACGCCCAATGCGGCGGTCCCCAACAGCTCGGCGATGCCAATATGCTTGGGCACGGCAACTGCCAATCCAGCCGAGATGCCAACATCCTGGTTCGCCCGCTGTCGCTGCCGCTGCTCGAAGCCGTTCTCCACCCTGCATTGGCCGGAGACGCCTCCGCTGCTGGGGCCACGTTGGCCGTCAGCTCCGCCTCCTGCAGCGCGCGGCGCCGTCGGTCGGCCGCGGCTGCGTCCGCCGCCCAGAGCCGTCGAAGGTGTAGAATTCGATCTCGCCCCTCTTGCTCGCGATTCCGCGCGCGCAGTAACCAGCCCAGGTCGCGCGCCCCGCGCGCCGCTCAGCCTGGCCCATTCCAAATCCATCGCCGCGCCTTCCCGTCGCAACTAGCGGCCGCGGCCGTACCACCAGCCCGCCCCAGAGTCGCCCTCGCCCTCGGCCGCCGCCGGCAGGTCACCCACGCCTTCAGATGCCCCCTCCCCTCAGCCATGCCTGCCGCGTGCTCCGCCCAGGCCCCCGCGCTGCCATTCGCGTGCCTCGCCAGGGTCCTCTGTTGCGCGTCAGCTGCCCGCTGAGCCCCTGCGCCCTTCGCCCCCGCGCCCTTCCGTCGACGGGCCAGGGGCGGGCGCGGCCAACTGGAGGGGGCGCCCCTGCGCCCCTGACCTCTGAGGGGCAGCCTTGGCCTTGGAAACCTCAGCGCCCGCCGAGACATTCGGCCACCTTGGCGCGGGCCTGAATGGGGGCCGCTTCGGCCGACAAGCAGGGGCACTCGCGCGCCCCCGCTCGCGGGAGGGCCGCGCCAGCCAAAAAAGCGGCCCCTGGACATGCACCCGCCCCGATTCACGCCTGCCTTCGACCCCCTCCGCGCGACCTCGGCGCGGCCCCGTCCCTTCGGCGTCTTGCGCGGAGGCTACTTCGGCCAACGGGTCCGGGCAACCCTGTGCGCCCGCCCCGCGGGGTCGCCCCGGCAGGCGGGGCGGCGCCTGGCCCCGCGCCCCGCGTCGCCCCGCGGTCTTCGCCGCCACCTTCCGCCTGTTGGCGGGCCGTCGCCAGGGTCTCGGCGCGCGGGGGGCTCGCCGACTGCCCGCCCGCACGGGCTGTGCAGGTGCCTCGGATATCAAGGGGGGGCCTACTGGCACCTGCCTGTGCCTCCCTCTGGGCCCGGGCTCCGGGGGATTCGCCCCCAGGGGTGGTCTTGCTCGTTGTTGGGCACTTGCCGGCTGGCCATTGATAGCGTGCACCCTGAGGCCGTGCAGAGGCATGTGTGGTACTCCAGAGGGAGATGGCGCCAGGCCCTTGAAAGGGCCATCACCATGCGCGGCCAGGCTCTTCCTCCGCCAGGATGGGGTCTCCAGGCGGCGGGATTATGGCCCAACCATGCGGCCATGCGTAATATCGCCGGGCAGCCTGTGCTCGGCAACGAGCCTGAGCCGACAACCGTACCACCTACGCCGGGACAGCCAAGCGATGCTCAGACGCCGGCTACGCAGGGAAACCTGCCCGTCCCAGGGCCTCCCCCTCCAACAACACCAGCACGCAGATCCCACCCCCGCTTCCGACGCTTTGCCATGTGCTGGTTGGTCCTTGCCTTGCACCCTGCGAACCTCTGTTGCTGCCCTTGCTCAGTTGCTGCGTCGGCTCTGCCCAGTCCCCGCGGAGCTCACATTCCGTGCCATTGGCACTCCATCTTCGTCCAATCCGACGTCGTTGACATATGCTGGGTCTGCTGCTGAACCACATGCTGCGTTTCCGCCTCCTGGGGTGCCCGCGCCAGGAGCCCCACCAGCACCAGGAGCCCAAGCAGCACCTGCAGCCTTGGCCTCCCCCTGTTTGGGTTTGGCCTCCTGGGTATGCACGGCCGCCCGGTGCTCAATCCACTCTTCGATTCCACTGGGAACTTCGACGCCGCTGGCGGAGGGCCCCCGTGCGAACATGGCACCCGCCGCGTCTGAATGTCGTGTGTCCTGCCGCCGCACCGAACTCAGCCACTGTGACCCGCGCCTGGATTGCCAGCGCCGCTGCCCTCACGGGTGCCTTTTGCTCAACCGCGTCCTCCGAATTCTTCTGCCACCGCCGCACTTGGTCCTGCGCCTGCTGGTGCTCCTTCTGCTTGGGGCTGACCAGCTTGTCCAAGAGCTGCGCCTTCGCTGTGACATACCGCGGCTGGACGTCCAGCGGTTTCGCGGTGTCCCTGGCTGCACGCAACACCTCCAGTTTGACGCCCAACTCACGCACGTAATGGCGATCCGCTCTAAAGGCCTTGACCAAAGAGGCCCTCTGCTCCAGGAGCCCCTCGGCCAAAATGGGGGCTTCGGCCGACAGCTTGACCTCCTCAGTACCGTGTTTTTTTGGCCTCTACTTTGAACGTCGCAATCACGGCATTGAGCGCGGCTCTCCCCACTGCCCGCTCTCGCTGCTTGGCCTTGATGCTCACCGCCGTCGACTCGCCTTGCCGCCCTGGAAGACCGCGTCAGCGAAGGTCCGCGGGGCCCCCAGAGGTGCTGTCCCACACGCGCGGCATTCCAGACGCCACGCGAAGATGCTCCTCTGGCCACAGCGTCCGCACGAACATGACCTGATACCTCCTTGGAGATCTGGCGAGCTGACCCCTTGACGCCCTCCGCCGCCTCTGCCGCCGCCCGCCATCGGTGCCCCCACGCCGATGCGGCCAGACAACGGGCAAGGAGACTGAGAGATACGCCGAAAAACCAAGCTGCCCTGCCTGCCGCGGACCAGCGGCATCCAACCGGTTCACCTGAGAACCTTGCATCTTGAGTCAAAAATAGCTACAGCGTATGACGAGTCTGAGTAGGGGTGAATCTGACTGAGGAAGAGGAGGATGTGAATGAGCCGGAGCGTGAGTGAGCCTGGCCTTGAGTGAGTCAGAGTATAGTCTGAGTGCGAGTGAGTCTAAGTATGGGTGAGCCTGAAGGAGGAAGAGGAGGAGTGAGGGGAGCGGAAGGTGTGAGGTGTGACTCGTAGGCGTCTGAGTCACAATAAACAACCAACCTAAGGATAATGGGAACACGCAGCCGTCGACTGTTCAAATTAAACTACGTGCGGGCCTACGACTTCAAATAGCTTTCAGCAGACGGCCTGTACCATAGACCATAGACGTCCACGGCGATAACGTATTCAAGCACCGACCGAACCTATAGAGTAAGCGAAACCGACAGAAACCGATGAATCGAGTACAGCCTGGAAGGTCGACGCGGCGAAACACACGACCGAACGAAACCGAACCGACTAAACCGCGGCCACTCGGAGCGCTGACCGGTTTCAACGCTGGGTCAGCCACGGGCATGCTGCGAACTCTGGCCGGCCACCAAGAAGATCACAAACTTGGGTCAGCGCAGGGAGGGAAGCGAAGATCGGCTCCATGGCTCTCAGACATGGGTCAGCCAAATCGGATCCGAGAGATTCTGCTGACTCCCTTGAGCTCAGACCCCCGACACGTGAGCCATGGGACACTCTGATGTATTCCTCTCCGGGATTGCCCCCCTGCCTTCTGTTCGCTCCGCGGCGGTCTTAAGCAGTCCCTAAGCAATCACAAGACCGCCAGAGACGGCAGCGAAAGGCCCCCAGAACGGTCGAAAACTGACCAGGGAGCCCCCCCCAGAGGTCCCAACATGACCCAAAGGAGGCCTAAGATGCCCGAGTGGCACCTCAAGAACGAGCCCAATGGATCGCCTTAGATGGCATCAAGCACCGAAGCACGTAACGCTTTTCAATGTCGCTTGCCCCCTGAGCATTCCGGCCTCATGTGGTCGACCTCGTCGGAGGCAACGCAACAACCATGCATTGTGCTCGGCACGGCCAAGAACACACACTGCAGAATCGTAGCGTTGCTTCCCAGACGGCTCCAAGATGGTCCTACCGAGCCTGCCAGGGAGGAGGCCAGAAACACAGGCATGCGTAGACATCGATGCTGCGCGGCCACGGCGGCGGGGCTCGTCGCACGCGGCCGAATTCGCCGGCCCAACGGGCCAGAGGCGTGCTAAGATCTCCGGTAACTGCTCTACAATGTTTCTACTTCGCGCGCGCGGGGCGGCCCCTGGGGGTCCCCAGACGAAAAGTACCCCGACCAGGTCCCGGCCGGTCCCCGGCAAGGTCCCCGGCAAGGTCCCCGGCAAGGTCCCCGCAAGGTCGGGCCAGAGATGCCGGAGCCCTGTTACAGGGCCCCAGGACGGGCCAAGAGGCCCCCAAGAAGCCTCCAAGACGGTCCAAGAGGGCCCCGAGACGGCCAAAGATCGCCCGAAGACGCCCAACAGGGCCCCAAGACAGCCCAAGAGGCCTCCAAGACGCCCCAAGGGCCTTCCAAGAGGCCTCCGAAGAGGGCCCCAAGAGGCCAAAATCGTTGATTTTCATTGTTTTTTTCGCTGTTTTTTGCGTTCTGGCTTTTTCGGCTTCCGGACGCTCCAAGACGGCCCAAGAGGCCCCCAAGACCGCTCCAAGACGGCCCATGAGGCTCCCAAGACGGCCCCGGAACGGCCCAGGAGGGCCCCCAAGACGGCCCAAGTGCCGCCCAAGACGGACCAAGAGGCCCCAAGACGGGCCCAAGAGGGGCTCAAGAGGGGAACCGAGAACTGAAAAATCGAGCCCTCCGCCCCAGAAGGCGCCCAGGAGGCCCCAAAAAGGCCCCAAGAGGCCCCCAAGAGGCCCCCAAGACGCCCCAAGAGGCGCCCAAGAGGCCCAAAAGAGGCCCCAAGAGGCCCCAAAACGGCCCCCAAGAGGCCCCAAAACTCGGCTAGCCCACAACTGTGCGACAATATGGGCCGGCGGAATGAGCGAAGCGATTAAATAATCATAAACACATAGGCTGGGTCCTTCAGCTTCCCAAAGATGTACTTGTTATGCCCGGCGGACAGCGAGGGGAGGAGTGGGAAGGAGGAGGCCTTCTCAGAAGGCGGCGGGGCTTCTCCGAAACTCTCGTGTCGTCTAACTAATTTTCGATGCCTCCGGGGAAGGCCGAGAAACCGTCTCGGAAGGCCGGAGGCCTTCCGAGCCTTGTGAGAAGGCCCGCCCCCTCTCGGACGTCCAGTGTTTTCGTCGGTCAGTACTCAGCTCACTGGTGGCCGTTCGGGGCTATCCTGGCACCCCCGAGCGCCCTCGGCGAGGCGCAGCCACTGCATCACACACCCCGAGGCTGGAAAACCGCCGAAGCCCGACGAAGACGCCCACTCCCTGGACTGGCCGCCGACATGCGGCAGGTAGTGGTGGAGGACGAACGCCCTGAAGCGCCACCAGGCCCTGGCGAGCGGCCACTCGCCCTCCGGGCCCCGCTGGTCCGACTCCTTCTGCTGCCTCAGCAGGCTGAAGTGGAGGTTCCGCTCGATCTCGTGCTCGACGTCGGCCCACATCTGGTCCTGCAGAGGAACCATAACACATCAACTGAATGGGCCCAGACAAACAAGCACACACAGATTCCTCTTCCTATATGTTTATAAGCCCGGGCGGGGGGAAAACCCGTCCCCCCCCCCCCCAAAACCGGACTCCCGGGATCTGGGGCTTTGGAACCCTCCGGACGGGCCTCGAAGCGGCCCCCCGGGCCTTGCAGGGCGTTTTGACAAGCCTTCGCAGCACACCTGGGGCGATCAGGGGGGTCATCGGAGACGTCCCAGAGACCCCCAAGACAGCACAAGAGCGCTCCAAGAGTGACCGACGTGACCTCAAGATGGTCCAAGAGGCCTCCAGGACGGCCCCAAAGAGGCCTCCAATAGCACTCCCAAGAAGGCCCCAAGAGGCAAAACTCATTAGTTTTCTGTGGGTTTTTAGTGAATTTTGGGGTTCTCCTCTTTTCGGCTTCCCGACGCTCCAAGACGGCGGTCTTCTGGGCGTCCGAAGCCGCCCGAGAGGCTCCACAATCGCCCCACAAACATCCGAAAGGGCTTCCAGGCAGTCCGAGAGAGCCCCAAAACGGCACAACACGGGTCCAAGATGGCCCTCAGGGAGCCCCATGGCGGCCCAAGATGGCCCCTAGACACCCTCCGAAGCATTCCAAATCGTGACCCGGTCGTTCAGGGAGACCGCGGTTGGAGGCAGGGTGGCCCGAGGAAGCCCCCAGAGGCCCCCAGAATACACCCAGGAGGTCTCCTGAAAGCATTAAGAAAGCCTGAAACAACTTTTGTGAGGCCCCCAGAGGCTCTCCAAGGAGGAGCCTCCGCAATAAAGAGCTGAGGAGGATGGGGAGAATGCGCAGGGTATGGCGAGAATGAGGAAAAGAAGCATGGAGGAAAGATCCGAATCACGTTATTATAGCGGGGATGCCGGAAAAGGCAACAAGGAGTTATCGCTAAATTGTCGGCTTCAACTTCCTGCAATTTCGCTAGCGTGCCACACTTCCAGGACCAAGGTGCATGGCGCGAAGCGCCACTGCAGTCTTGTACATATATATATATACACACACATATACATTTAGATGTATGTAGATATAGACACAAATCCCATAATTCCCAATACTCTTACACGTACTGGATGTTTCGTCTTCCCCTCCACTTCTCATCGATTCTCATATTTCCCTGGGAATCGACGTTGACTTGTCGTGTCTATGAGGCTGGTGGTTCCCCGAGGTCCAGGGCCGCGTCCACGCACGCCCGCACGGGCGGCCACATGTCGGGGTCGGCCAGGAAGCAGCTCTTGATGGTAGGGCGACGAGATTCATAGATATACACTGCTCCCTGGCCACGCCCATCCTGAACCCAGCAGCGGTACATACGCCACGCCCTCCTGGCTTGACCAGGAGGGCGTATGCACAGCTGCTGGGTTCAGGATGGGCCTGGCCACTGAGCAGTAGATATGTGTAGATCTCGCCACCCTGGATGAGGTCCCTGGTGCCGAGCGCCAGGCTGCTGCGCATGCGCGCGGTGGCCGCCAGCAGCTCCGCCTGTCGGCGAGTGAGCGCAAGGGGTCAAGGCGCAGGGGACGACCCTGCCGCGGAGGGCGCCTCCCGGGACAGAGGCCCGCACACCCTGACAAGGTGGCTGGTACCCATCGACTACACGCAAGAGGGACCCTCGGTAAGAGTGACCTTTGATGCGCAGCTTTTTGGGGGCCGCGGGGGGACCAATCGGGGGACACCATTGGGCCCGCACCAAAGGTCACTCCAGCGAAAAGTCACCCTTAAAAAGTCACCCTTGCGTAGAGTCGAAATCAGACGATCCCCGAGTTAAGAAGAAATCGCGACGGATAGTGGTTCGTCTTGTTCTGCCTCTGGGGGTCCCTAGACAGGGCCTCGGGGCCATCGAGACACGCCGAGGAAGATAAAACACCGGCCCCAGAGAGCCCTGGCCGGGAGTCGACGCCGTGGAACAAGCATGTCGTCGGGGATCTGGGTACGAAGGCCTCTCAGAGGGCAGGATGGCCTCTACGAGGCGGGGTGCCTCTTCGGAAAGCCCCCAAGCGTCACGCGGGGGCGACGCCGCCACCCCCCCCGTGGAGGCGTGGCAAGGGCCACGGCTCCAGACGCGCCGTGCACCAGCACCTGCCCCCTTGGGCGCCCGCCCCGAGATGGCGAGGACCCTCTCTGGGGTGCGCCTGTGCCCTGGGGTAGTTGCAGTCAAGCTGCTGCACGAAGGAGCGCTAAGGCATGAAGCCCCTCTTTGGGACCAAGAGGCCCTGGGTGCACGAGGCGTAGAGGAACAACCACGGAATGATTGAAAGAACAGCGAACCCATTCTGGAGCCACAGCGGTGCAAATTTCAGCATCTTGACCGTACGTCTAGTCCCCCTGAGCCTTTCTGGGAGGCCTCCCAAATCTACAACGCTGTGCCCTTGCTTTCTTTCTGGCAGAAACGGGCCCCTGGCTGGATCTTCCCGGGGTCTGGCTCCCCATCCGGAGACGGGTTTCGATCACCCTGGGCTTCCGTCGTGACTGTTCCCCCAGCGAGGGTCTGCGTCTGGGGGTCAAGAGTCGACCGCCTGTCACAGGGTGCGTTCGGCCAATTTCTCGAGCTGTGTGCGACCGTGGCGACGAGAACCTCCAGGAACCCCCCAAAACCACCTCGATCCTCGAACCTCGATCCTGGGCTTCTGCTCGGCGCCAGGCCTTTGCGCGGCTCCTCTCGTCCAGCCCCTCCTCCAGCACGTCCTTGGGACGCAGAAGGACATACTAGTACCAGCATACAACACAAACATGTTACAATGTATCGTTACGCAGGCGGTTTGGCCAGAAACCGCCCGCCAACGAGCAGAAGATGGAGCAGGGCAACGCACACATAGTCATAGTGAAGGGGCAGAACGGTCATTCGTACCTGCGACCCACCCCGCGACTCACCCTGCGACCCAACCCGCGCCCCAGCCGTGACCCACCCGCGACTCTTATCCGCAACTGCGGGGTGCTACGTATACAGAAGCCTCCCAAATGGGGCCCGAGTAGATGGAGTCAGAGGATCACACCACATCGCCGATGCATCGGCAACGTCGGCGATGTTTCGGAAGCACTGGCGTGGGGAAATCGAGCTCCTCTTCGAGCTGCATCGGCGATGCAGCGGCAGTGCGGCTCCTCCGACCCCATCTACTCGGACCCAGTGATCGGTCAAAAGCTTCAGCCAAAAAGAAAGGTGAACACGTGATTCAGAAGATCTTGCGTTGCTTGCCGTTGTTGCTCGACATGAACACCGTCTGATGAAACAATCGTTGGCGGGTAATGTCCTGTCTTGTGATTCCATGCGGCAAATGTTGAATGATGAAAAAGCCTGGCAAATGGGGAACCCAAAGGTACCAATACCGCTACTCCCCGAGCCTCTCCTGGGTTGCGTTCTGACCAGAACTTCGATGCGAATCCAGCGGTGGCGACGAGGGCCATCCAGGAAACCCAACAGGGGAAATCGAGGAAGGGTAGCGGTTTCGGTAACTACCTCTGACGGATATCCACAACTGCGGGGTACTACGCATAACTCTGTGTAGGTGCACCTGAAGGGAAACATGGAGCATCCTGAGCGCAGCAGCTTCTTAACGCCCGCGGGAAGTCATCGCGGAGCGAGGCGCAGCGAAGAAATTCAAGGTACCCTGACGAAAAGCACAAGGTTTCTTGATGCGCTTCCCTACTGTACTACGTTCGGGGAGACGTAAGACTCGGATTCGGGAGACTCGGGTTAGCCTGACGGGGCCATCATGGAAATAACATGACCCAAGCTGTCATTTGACGCGAGCTTCCGCCGTAAGCATCCCACGAAAACTGAACCGTCAAAGCGTCGGCAAACCCGAGATCCGCCGTACTCGAGTCCTACGGCTCCCCGATATGGACTACGGCCAAGCCTAAGACAGACGAACATCCTTCAAGAACATGAGACCCTCCACCGGCCAACACACCCCAAACCAGAAGATCACCGAGGGTACCCTCCCCCCGGGATTTACAAGAACATCCAACAAACACAAATCCCCGAACCGACCTCGATCTTATACCTGTGTTGTTCTCATCGCACTGAAGGATCGCATCCCAGAAACAATTCGAGCACCCAGAAAAATACTGAAACGGTGGCTGCCCGACACGCTGGCGAAGTGTCGAACGAGTATCGCCCCCCCAGGGCCCGACATGTGAAAACCCTCAAGTGTCGGTACTTCCTTGATTTTCGAAATTATTCCTGCCAATCAAGGCTAAGGTAGGTTGGAACATCATTATCTTATACAGCGGTCCGACATTATGACTGGGTGATGCCAAGTCTTGAGAGACTCCTAGATGGGGTCCGAGTAGAAGGGGTCGGAGGATCGCGCCGCATCGCCGATACATCGGCAATGCACTGGCGATGCATCGGCGATACACCGGCGATGCATGGTCGACGTCGGCGAGGCATCGGCGACGTCGAAGTGAACTAAATCGGTCTGCACATCGAGCCGCATCGGCGATGCAGCGCGGTCATCCGACCCCCATCTACTCCGACCCCATCAAGGCCTAGAAATGAGCAGAGACCGGCCGTCCTGGCTTTCGTATAGGCCTACCACGTCCTGTTTCTGTATAGTGAAATAATTTCCGAATAACGAAAACACCATTAAACCGACGTTGAGAACACAGTCCCAACCATACATGTTCAATAAGCATCGCGTGCGAACCGACAAGGTTATAATAGCACTCTTCGGTGGGCCTATGGACAAGCCGAGACGCTTCGCCACTGCTCGATAGAACACGAACCTCATGAAACGATTGAAAATCTCCCCTTCTGGTAAAACGATATCACATCGCACCCGAAAGCGTCATCCTGGCATCCTGAGGAGGAGGAGCGGAGGAGGAGGAGGAGGAGGAGGAGGAGGAGGAGGAGGAGGAGGAGGAGGGGGAAGATGATGAGGTGGAGGAGGAAGAGGAGGAATAGGCGGAGGAGCGGGAGGAACAGGTGGAAGAGGAGGAGGAGGGTCGAGGAAGAGGAGTAGGAGTAGGAGTAGGAGGAGGAGCAGGAGGAGGAAGGTGCCAGCGTTATGAAGAGCTCGTCTGCGTCGCCATCGGTTCGCCACGCTGGCCGCTCATTGACGGCCGCAGGTAAGCTCGGTGGCGGCACGGGCTGCGCGGGCGATCCCGATCCCGTCCAATTCAGAAATCGCTACGGGATGGCCACGGCGGCGAGCCGAGTGCACGTGGAACACCATGAACAAAAGACGAACCGCGTCCGTGCATTGGCCGACGAAGACCTGGCGAGCATGTCCGAAGGGACAGGACGGCCGGAGGCCCGAGCCAAGAGTGCATCAACTCTGGGGCACACTATGTAGTGGGAGAATGAATCGAAGGCTCCACCGCAGCCGAAACACCCGTGCTGGGGGGTCCTAAGCCTAGTGTCGGTGACCCACCCCCCAGTCCAAGTCTTGAAAAGAGCGCAGCGCCATGCAGGGGGAAGTGAGGCGAGGAAGGAGCGAAGCGAGTCAACGTTGAGAGGGGCAAGGGAGACCTGGGGGATGGCAAGCCATTTGGGAAGGTGTTCCCGCACCCGCGCGGCCAAGGCCGAGCGCCGCTCGGGTTGCGCGAAGGCGCGCGTCAGCGCAGCCGGAAGACGGGGCCACCACCCCTCACAGCGCCGCGCCTCGGCGTCCAGCGCCGCGTCCCTCAAGGCGGCCACCGAGCCCGGCAGCGCCGCCGCCTCCCCCAGGAACATGCCAGGCGAGCCCTCGGCCCAAGGCCTCGAGCGAGAGGCACCTCGCTGCCGTCTCGCGGAGGGCCCAGGCCACCAGCGTCTCCGCGGCGCTGCGCACGCGTGCAGCGTCGCAGAGGTCCCCGAGGAATCGAGGTCAGCGAAGAGGTCCAGGACCGAGAAATCCAAGAGCCCGATCCAACTGTGACTACCTACCAAACCACCCCAACCCAACCCGAAGACCCGAATTTCGGGTTGGGGGGGGTACGGGCTTCATGTGTGTTTTCTCGACGTTCCCAGACCCCCCCCAACTGGAAATGGAAGGCAAATTGGGGCCTTCGGGTTGGGTTGGGGTGGTTTGGCGGGTGGTGAAACTGTCAAGCGCCTGCAGCAGCCGGCAAAGCACGCGGTCCTCGGCACTGGGGAATCGCCTCAGCAGCCGGATGAGCTGCGCTTTGTGACCGGCGACCGCTTGGGCGGCTGCAACCCAAGCGTCGGGTGAGGGACGGCCTCCAGCCGCAGTTGCTCCGCCACCAGCCGGGTCTGAGCGAACCGCGCGCCCCTGGTCAGGTTGCGATGGGAATGTGAGCATGGCTTCCACAGCCAACAGCTCCTCTTTCCTCCGAGCGGGCAGGGCGACCAGCCAAAGCATCATAACCCCCAGCGCGCCCAGCGGACGCCCGGCCGCCGCCCTGCTGGCGGTCGTGCGGACGCTCGTCCCAGGCTGCGCCACGAGCTGCCCGATCTTGCTGCCGCTGCTGCCGTCGGCGCGCGTCACGACACCGCTGCTCGCTGTGGGAGGTGGTGCGAGGGTCGGGCGATCCCGATTCACTGAAGCCCGAGCGAGACATCCGGCCGTCAGCAGGAGCAGCGGCCGCCGCGTCAGCGCCCGATGCGAGGGAGGCTATCGCGGCAGATGTGGAAAGGGCGACGTGTTCAAACCGAGTGGGAGAAGAGGGTTGGCAAACTGTTGTCAGGAAGTCGAGGGAAATCGACCCTGCCCCTTGGCTTGGGCCAGACTGGCTACGGAGGAGGAGGAGGAGGAGGAGGAGGAGGAGGAGGACAGGAAGGAGGACAGGACACGAGTCCTGGGCGCCCGCCGACGCCCGCGAGGCGGCGCCCCGCGGCGAGGCGGCGACCCGCGCGGGCGGCGGCGCCGCCCGGCCCTCCGCGCGATCCCGCTCCTCTCGGCCGCGCGCAGAGAGCGAGCCGAGGTCCACGAGCCTAAAACGAAGCCAGGGCGAGGGTGCAGTCGGACTTGGCTGGACAGGACACGAGAGAGGACACAAGACCCTTCCGAGGGCCACATTGCAAGAGGAATTTGGGAGGCATGGGCCATGGGTCGCGAGACACGGGACACAAGGGTACCCTTGATTTGGCAGGGTCGCCCTGCTAATCAGGGCCGACTGTACAGCACATCAGGGTGATTTTGTTTAGCAAGGCTGCCATGAAGGCGTCTCAAGTATTACATCACGTATCAAACACACATCATATCTTGGCGAACCATATACATGTGCCACTGTGTGTATACCCTAGGTACAGGTAAAGGATTGTGTATGCCCTCCCCTCCTCGCTTGGCGTCTCGCCTCGCGGTCAGCGAGGTCTAGCGCAGAAACTGTCTCGAGCGAGAGGGGTGGAGGTGGGTCCAGCATCAGCTGCGACCAACGCTTCTGACGCCGACTGTCTGAGAGGTGGGCTGTACATCTCAGCCGCTGCTTGAAGTCTGTCTTACATACAGTACATCTGCCACGTGCATCAACATACAGACGAGCAGGGCAACGGAGTTGGTGCTTCATTCTCTGGTGCATGTGCAACGCTTTGCCAATGACAAAGGCTGGGCGCTCTGGGCAGAGGCTACACACAAATGGGCATGGGGCATTCTCCGTCGAGCTCTTCTGCTGGGCGCCCTCTCTCGACGAATCGCGGATGGAGGTGTGAAAAAAGATACGCTGCACTCTCTCTCTCTCTCTCTCCAGGCCGAAATATCCAGGCACATCAGGGTGAGGATAAATCCGCTGACCATTCGGTGTGTGTGAGACGCTGTGGTCGTCATCGTCGTCTTCGTCGTCAACATCGCCTGTCCCGACCCCGCCCACGGCCCCAACCGTGGCCGTGGCCGTGTGGCCCCAGCCCCAGCCGTGGCCCTGGCCACGGGGTCCCAGGAAGGGACCCCGGGGTCCCGGGCAGGTCCCGCCTTCAGGGTCGGCGGCACCGGCCGTAAGGCCTCCCCAATCGGGAATCCCTGAGATCTGGCGGTTCTGGAGGAGGTCTCGGGCGCCGCGGCCTTTTCGGAGCGTTCCGGAACGGATTTGTCCTCGTCCTGGCCCCGTCCGACTGGTGCGCGGCCCGCCGACCGGCGCGGTGCGTTGCGACAAGAACTGGCGGCACCGGGGGTCGGAGCAGCCAGGGTCGGAGGATCGCGCGGCGCCGCCGATGCATGGTCGGTGCACTGGCAGCGTCGGCGATGCATCGGCGGCGTCGGCGCGGAGAAAATCAGGCCCCACATCGAGCCGCATCGCCGATGCATCGGCGATGCGGCGCGATCCTCCGACCCCATCTGCTCGGACCTGATCTGGGAGGCCCAGAAATGATTAGCGGCCTGCTTGCTTGGGTTTTTGGCCTCCCGCGCCCCCTGGAGCCCGCGCACCAAAGGCCACTCCCGCGAAAGAGGGTTCTTTTTTTGGCCTCCCGCGCCCCCTGGAGCCCGCGCACCAAAGGCCACTCCCGCGAAAGAGGATTCTTTCGCGTGCAGCCGAGCCTCTACCGCCTGCTCCAGGATCGAGGTGGTGCAGGAGCGGAACCACGGCTCCTCGGCACGACGCGCGGTCGCCGGCGACAACCCGGCGGAGACGACCAGGGGGGGAAGACGACCAGGGGCGAAAACGGTCGGTTGCGTAGACGGCAAGGCCCAGACATCCTGCGTCGCGATTTTTTCGAGACATGGGCCCCCGACCACTCGACCACTTCTCAGGGACTGATTGTTCATCCCAAAACTTTCCTTGACGGCCACGAGGCCCGGCAAGAGCCTCGATTTTTCGAGACGCCGGATCTGGGAGTGAAGACGACCGCTGGCGAGGACGACGTCCTTTGGCTCCAACGTCTCCGCCTCACTGGCCATTGCGCGCCAAGGAGGGGCGGGGCCGCCGCGGGGAAGGTGCGGCGCAAATGCTGGACAGGCACGCGGGCCTGGCACACTGCGGGGAAGTAAGGCGCGAGCAAGGGGGAAGGGGGGAAGAAGCAAGCAATGCGCGCTCGCGCACATCTGGCATTCGACCACTCCGCCCAGCCCTTCCCGTTGCCGCTTGACTATTTCTGCCCGCCGACTGGAGTGCCCTAGAGGAACTTGATCTCCCAAGAATCCCCTTCTGTTACGGTGGGCAGTGTGGGACGGATCCGAGAGGGTGGCCAAGGCAGGTCCCAGAGGGTACGGGGGATCGGGGACGGATCCGAGAGGGTGGCCAAGACGAGCGCCAAAGGCGTGGTGTCTTTGCGCCTCCTGCGGAGCGTCCAGGGCCTGTCATGGGCCCCTCGAGCCGTCCTGGAACGCACTGGGCCGCCAGGGGGCCCTCGAAGCTGCTCGGGGGGTTCTTCTGGGACTGTGTTGGGACCATCTTGGGGCGCGTGGGCACGGCTTTCGGACGTCTTGCGGCAGTCTTGCGGTTATTTTGGCCCGTCTTGCGGTCTTCCGGCCAATCCTATGGCGGTCTTGCAGCCATTATGTTCCGTTGTGAGGTTCCCTGGGAGTCTGGTGCCCTTTTGGCGCATGTTGGGGCGACAACTGGGATATCTTGGGTGATCTTTAACGCGTTGAAGCTCGGACTGTCGAGGATGCGAAAGTTGGCCGACCAGTTAGGGTCGCCCCTAAGCCATGCCCCTCTCGGGAGCCTGGCAGACGGTCTGAAGAGTGTAACGGGGGCTTGGCGCTGGAGCAGGGGGTCCCAAGACTGGTGCCGACGGACTCATCGCGGTGCCGGCAGGCTCATCGGCTCCATAAACGTTCCCAAACGCGCCGAAATTGCCCCAGACGGCTCCTGACGGCTCCAAGAAGACGGCTTCAGATGACTCCAAGAGGACCCCAAGAGGGCTCTACGGCTCCAAACCAGTAATTTCCGATGGCTGTCCTGAAAAGTTTCGGGACGCTCGCCCGGTCCAGCTTCCGTCCGCCCATGACGGCCAAGGAGCCCCCCCAAGATCGCCCCAGCAGGGCCCCTGGACGGCTCAAGACTGAGGGGCAACGACAGGGGGGCACTGGGAGGGAAACATCGACCTGGAATCGGCGATACATCGCCGATAGATGGGCGATACGCCACCGATAGCAAATCCGCACGTTCCTGGGCAGGGTGGGGCTATCAGACCCCTATCGGCGATCAATGGCCGATTGGGGGATCGACGGGATCGATGCATCTCCCGCCTATGCCCTATCCCCCCTTATCGTTGCCGTTGACAGACGCCTCCAAGAGGAACTGCAAACAGAACTGGCATTGGGAGCCGCCGTTCCCTCAAAGATGGACCCACGAGGGTCACGCTGGGTACCCCAGCCCACCCACCCAACCACCCACCCACATGCTCACACACACACAACACAAAAAAATGGCACCGCCTTAGGCGGATCGTCATTCGCATGGGCGCCTAACTTCAAGCTGCGCAAAGCGCGAATGGCTTCGCGCTCCCGCGCCGCCCCCCAAAAGGGAGAAGAGTAGGACGAGGAGGCACCGCAGCCGAACCGCGAAGCGCCAATGACTTCGCGCCCTCGAGGGCGGCCTGGCACGAGGCGGCCTCCCGACGGCGGACGTCCGGCGGGAGGCGGCGGCAGGTGCAGGAGGCCACGGCTGGGGATGCGCCCCCCGCACCTTCGGGCTGACCTCCCTCAGGCAATCCAAGTGCATCACCTGGAGGTGACTGTGCGCCAGTGCCTACTACTCTTTCTCTCTCCCTCTCTCTTTCTCTCTCTCTTTCTCATTTTTTGTTTGTTGTCTCTCTCTCTCTCTCTCTCTCCCTCTGTATATACAGTTACAGTCAAATAGTATAGTAAGGCTGCGCGGTAAGGGTGCAAGGGTCTTGGACGCCCATGCCGAGGCTCTTCGAGCGGGGCTGGCCGTCGAGATGACCGAAGAGGCAAGGATGCCAGGGTACCCTTGGGAAGTCGGTCATACTTGCTATGCGGGTTGACTTGCACACGTTTGCCGCGCTCCTTCTATCTGTATCCCCACGCTCATTTTGTAAGTCCAAGTGGCCAGTGCACAGTTCTCGCTGTATATACACATCAGTCGCGCTCAATATATCTTCATCCCCCCCGCTCCTTGTGGAAGTCCACGTGCATCACCTGGTGGTGCCTCTGCGGCCAATGCAATTTCTCTCCCACCTTCTCTCTGCGTACCGCGGGTTCGTGTCGTATCGACCCCAGCGTTGGTTCCTGACACTGCGGCGATCGTTCAACATTGAAAGATCGGCTGCTTCCGAAACGTCAGATCGTTCAACGGTGAACGCCGGCGGCGGCGTCGCCGCCGAAGGACACGACGCGAACCAACCGTACAGTCATGGCACTGCCAGAGGGAACGCCGAATAAGGAACGAAGGGGCTTTCCTGGCCAAGGCGGGCCTCGTCCACGAATGTGTTCCCCGACCTAGACGAAGGAGAGGCCGAAAACCCGAGCCCCTCCTGAGCCCAAAGCGGTCCTTATCCGAACTGCTTGACTGTGTGCACCTGTCACGCTCACTCTTCCAGAGCCCCCCCCCCCGCCCCTGGCCTCAGCCTCTGCCCCCGACACCGCACCACCTGGAGCGCCCTCCCCACCCGCCGAGAGGGCGCGCCCGCGCGGACGCGGCGGCTGGGCGCGCGCGGCGCCGCCGACGCGGCGGCTGCGCTGCAGTCTCGCCCGCGGCCCGCGCGCCCCTCCGGCGAGAGAAAAAAAACGCGCCGCAGCCGGCGAGGGGGGGGGGTCAGCATGAACGAGGCGGGTTCTGGACGATCGGTCGGTACAATAGGACTTGATTGGTCAGGGCATCCGAGAGAACACATGACTCTTCCGGCGACAACGAGGCCCAAGAATATGCGGGTTGCATAGGTAGGAGTAGACAGGGCACAAGGGTACCGTCGATTTGGCATGGTCGACCTACCAATCAGAGCCGACTGTACGATCGACATGGGTACGAAAAGAGGGGAGTTAAGACCGACAGCAGTTCCTGATCATTCTGACCAGAACTCTGTCGGCGCCGCCGCGGGCGTTGTCCACTTGAGACCAAAGGTCGCCTGCCCAACAGCGGCCGCTGTCGTTTGGGACAAGGAGCTGATGGGCATCGTATCCATTTGTTCTACGCATTTCTTCCTCACATATTTCGGGCGTCCAACATCGAGGCTCGAGGCTTGAGATATTTGAAGTTTTGTGAACCGCTGGGAGGCTCACCGTCGCCACGGCTAAATCCGCCCCGATATTCTGGTCAGAACGCGCCCCTGGACACGCGGAGGGCGGGCGACCTTTCACCCCCCAAACCCAAGTCGCCGTAAAAGAAAGGGGTGGATCTGTTTCGCTGTGTTCGGACACCTGCGGCCCTCCACACGCCTCGGGGCCGGAAACAAAATCTAAGGATGAAGAGCTGGCACAAGAGGACCCGTTTCCTTCAGCACCGCTTTCCTTCATTACGAAGGAGAGATGAACATAGGAACAAAATATTGAAAACCATGCATATCCACCGCCTGTGGAACCGGTGCTCTCCAGACCTTTGGATGGAATGACTATGGATATGTCTGGCCCCGCCTGGCGCCCGAGAGTATCCATGTCCACTGCCTCCAGGGGTCCGAAAACATCGGTTCCCAGGCGGTGGACACGTGCAGACTTCAGCCTTGGAGGGAAGGGTCCGCGAGGGTGCGCTCAGAATTTCGTCGGGTCGTAGCAGATTCGCACGTAGCGCACCTTCCCCGCCTGGCCGCGGAGGGCGCCCCCGCGAGGACGCTTGCGGGGGAGGATGATGGGGAGGAGCGGGCGGGGATGATAGGGGGAAGACGCGGGAGGCAAAGGCAGTTAGGAGGCAACTACTGGGAAGTTTTCGTCGGAAGGATTAAGGAGGATTAAGCCCCATTGGGGGGCTCTTGCGCAAGAGTGGGCCTCGGATTAAGCGGGATTAAGCCGGATTAAGCGGGATTCATCCGGATTAAGCGGGATTAAGCGGGATTAAGCCGGAGTTCGGACCAGGGCAAAATCAGAATTTGACCTCCCAGGAGTTGCATCCGAAAGGCAGTGGGGAATGAGGGCTAGGGGGCAATTGACAATCTATTTGCGCTTACGCATGTGGTATGGCGCGGCGTGGGCGCAACGCGCTCACGAAATCCCACCCATCCCACACACACATCCCCACCGGGCTGAGTGTTTTTTCTCCTCCCACGGGTGCCACAGCGACCCTGACAGCCCGAAAAGACACAATCGCATTGTGCGAGACCAGAGACGACAAGATTTACACATTTGACAAGGGGGGCGTGGCGGATGAGCAAGATAACAAGGGCTCCTAAGTTCGCGCTTCGCGCTGCGCGAAGCGCGAAGCGCGAATAACTTCGCGCTCTCGCGCCGCCCCCCCAGGGGGAGAAAAGGAGGACGAGGAGGAAGGGGAGAAGGAACGAGGACCGCGAAGCGCGAAGCGCGAATAACTTCGCGCCCTCGTGGGAGCCCTTGGATAACAATGACGTTTCCTTCGAAGGTCCGAGACAGAACGCAACTGGAGAAAAAAAAAAAACTTTCGCAGGCGGCGCGGGCCGCCAGCTCTCTCGCCTTGGCACGCTGGTCGGAAGGCACAATTCCCTCGATGGAATTCGGGCTCGCTGCGCTTGCGCTTGATGGGCCTGTAGCGGAGCCAGCAGCAAACGAACGCGGGCTCTCGTGATGAGCCCACCAGTGACCCACACGAATACCGCGGGTGCAACCAACGACAAAGTCTGAAACAGGTGTGCTCTCGCTCGACAACTTCTGAAACACATGCTGACACAATTTAGCACGAGGGCAATCCGAAGCGAGGCCCAGCCGACGTCGGCAGGAACACGCACCGCAGCAGAAATACAAACAAATAGCGGCAAACCTTGGAAAACCTGCATCGTCGCCGCCCCCAGCTTGTTGCCTCGAAACTCCGCTCCACGAAAGTTCTTAGCGGCGTGGGATGTCCACGACAGCCTTTCATCGGGCGATCCAGCCCACAAGATACGGTGTAACACTTGCCGCACCTCCATCCGACTCCCGCCTCGATCGTCATCGAATCGTGCCAACTTGGATGTCTGATTCGCCTTCTAAATGACAACGCACTGCCTTTCCAAGGCCCCGAGAAACTCTTGGGCAGCTCCTGGGTGCAAATCACCAACATGTTTGGTTAACTTGTCCGCGCCCTTATTGTCTTTGGCGATCCAGACCGGCAGCCTCCGTAGCTCCGTGACCTTGCCTTGGTCACGCTGGCCTTGGCGATCTCTTTGTCCTGTGCGAAGTGGGCACTCGGCGAACGCCTTGACCTCCGCATCCTCAACCTCATGGGTGCGATCGAACACGTTTACATCATGTTGAACACCCGTGGATGATGGAATACCAGGCGCAACTGTTGTCATCGTCGGCCAGAACTCCACCTTGATCGTTTGCATCTCAACCGACTGAGCCTGTTGCTTGTCTTGCATGTGTGTGGGTTCCTGCTGGGCGTCCGCGACAAACTTGATCTGAGCCACGACATCAGCCTGGTCCTTCTTGTACTGCTGCTGGCAAGGGGCGAGTTTGCACCCCAGCGCTGTATGCTTGGGGAACACAGGCTTCCTGGTATGAAAGTGCTGTCTGGCGGAGGCCAGCTCTGCCTGCAAGCCGACGCGCGCTGCCTGAAGCACGTCATCGCCGCACGTCTTGACTGCCGCAAAGGGACTCCTCCAGATGTTGGGCCCGCCACCGAAGCGTCGCGTCGCCATCGTTATCATCCACAGGTTTGCCGCCATCATCTCCACCTGCCGACTGTTTCCTGCCACCTCCCTGCTGGGCTGCACGCGTGTCGGTGACCATCATCTGCTTGCACTGATCGAGCAGCCGATTCTCGAAAGATGCGAGCTGGGCTGCCATATCTGTAGACTTGGGCGGTCCCTGAGCCCGCACGCCGCGAGGAACACGAGTGAAACCACCAACACCACTAGGGGATTGAGCAACAACACGACGGGCTTTCGTAACGTTCGGGATCGGGGCCGTCTTTTCGCACAAGCACCTGATGCGCGACGCGTAGTCACGGTTGCGGCAGCACTGTGGGCAACCCTCTTTGGTTAACACGCCCCTGGAAAACTGTCTGGCTCATCAGCCCGCGGGGCTACGCGCCTGGCCCTCCAGGTGCTCACACAACGGAATGCTCTTGCACGAGTGGAAGAAAACAAACGGGTCACCTTGGCCTGCAGCAGCACCTGGCCGTTCTGCTGAGGCATGCTGTTAGAAGTGCCTGAGCCAGAACGGCTCAGGATAGGAATGAGCAGGAGGAAGAGGAGGAAGAGGAGAAGAAGGAGCTGAGCACGAGCAGGAGCAAGGGGACCAGGGAAGGCGGAGGGAGGCGAACAGGACGGGGCGTCAAGGACGAGGCATGACTCGGCTCAAGAAGAGTCCCACGCTGGAGCCAGAGCGCCATTCTGAACGACGGGAGCAGGACGCCGACCCCTAAATGAGGCCCACGCTGCAGCAGAAGCACCCTGAAGCACTCATAAACATGTGAAGCCCGGTTTTCTTACAGAAAATTGAAACACGTGAACTCAGAGGACCGGATATTTCCACACGCGGTGGGGGGAGAGAGAAGAGCACTATTCACACTGAGGAATTGTGGGAGCCAAATGGGAAGAGAGAAAACGATGGAGCGGGGGGGCGACGGGCAACGGGAAGGAGAAAGGAGAGACGGGGAAACGGGAGGGCGGATAGGCCGTGATAGGGGGAAGGCGAGAAACTTAAATGGGAGAAAAATACGAAAAACTAGGCGGGAGGGCAAACGGAAAGGGAATCAAGAAAAACGAACAAAGATACGGGAAAGGGCTGGGGCAGGAGAGCCGGGGAGGGGGGTCGCAGGGGGAAGATAGATTATGCGAGAAGAGAGGAGAGAACGAATATGGCGGATCACGGGGAGGAGGGGAGGGAGGGGGGGTCGGAAGGGAAGGACGGCAGGGGTAGAGGGAAGGAGGACAGGGGCAGGGAGAATGATGGGAATGGTGTGGAGAGGAGATAGGACGAGGTACGAATGGGAAGTTCAGAGGGGGAGGCACCAGGGAATGGTGAAACTTAGAAGAAAGGCATGAGACACATATGAAAGGCTGCATAGGAAGGCTGTGAGCCGAATCAACCGGTACTGTTACTGACACCGATAAAATGATCACGCTACTCACAACGATCTGCAATCTCAACGAGCGGTACGACAACACGCGGGGTGCTTCATGATAACACCGGGGCCCGACGAGTGAACCATAGTAGTCTTGCTTTGCCTTTAAGCTGGCATCGCCTGGGAGCCGAGTAAACTCCCGACGAGCTCGGTCTTTCTCTCCTCAACATCCCGCCCCTGTCATCCCCTGTCACTACAGCTCGAGGATGGGCACTGCTCGACCGATCTGAAAGCGCCACCGGAGCTGTCACCGATCGCAGGCCAGAGCGTGGTCTCTGGCCTCGCTCTCGGAGCCTCGTCGCCGATCGCGTGGAGCTGCTTGGCGATGGCCGCGGAGCACGATCATTTCGAGTGGAGCTGGCGGGTCTTGTCGTCCGAGAAGACTTGCCTGCTGCCAGCAGCGCGGGCACTTCAACTGGCCATCCGGCTTGATCCCAGTGTTCTGGAGTGTGCCGTTGCCCGACACCGCCTCCGTGCCGCTCTCCAGCGTCTCTGGCACCGCTGCTGCGGCGCAGGTTGGGCGGCGCGCCCGGGGGGGAAGTGAGAACGGGCGGGCCTTCTCAGAGACTCGAGCATTCCCCGGCCTTCTGAGAAGTCGGCTGAGCCTTCCGCGGAGACACAGAGAACCTCTCAGAAGGCCCTGGGGCTTCTGAGAAGACCCGCCACCTTCTGAGAAGGCCTCCTCCTTCTCGCTCCCCCCCCTAACAGGGGATATGTCGACCTCTATCCCAAGCTTCGTGGGGTTTCGAAAAGGCCAGAAATTCACAGCAAAACCCTAAAATATACGATGGGGGGCGTCCATCCTCGATAGGGGGGTATGCGGATAGACCCCTTGAGGTATATCCAAGGGTTTCTCTCCTTTTCCAAGCGGCTTCATTTTTTGTCGAAAAGCCGGGGGTTGAGGGAGAGACATCGCCTGCGACCCCTCGCTCGCCGCCGACAGGTGCCACCGCACCAAACTTGCGCCGCCAACCTCCTGGAGCCAAGCCAGTTGCGGACAGGACTGCCCATGTCGGTCGGGGTCGGCCTGCCCCTCGAACGATTCTCGCCGCTCGCTGCTCGGCTGATCGAGGCCAGCGCTGGCACCGATCGGCGGGGGGGGGATGATGATGACGAGGGGCGGCGGACAGCAAAGATGAGGCTGATGAAGGGGAACGACGACAGAGCAGAGGAACACAATCCCCGACATCGGACATCACGATTTTATGTGACCTGGGCACCCAACACTCTCGGTCCCCTCCCGCGACCCGCTTATCATCATGGGTAACTTTTCATCGGAACGGAACTCCAAGGCATCCTTGCAGAAACCTGCCGTCACGAGCAAACTTGCAACAAAAACCTGCCGTCACGCGCTCCTCTCAAAACCGATTCCTGGACATGTCCAGGGGTGCGGTCCGGCCAGATTGTTCAAATAATCTAGCTGTGACGGCTAGGGAGACGGAGGCCCAGAAAGACCCGTCCGAACATCCAGACACCTCGATCCTCGAGCCTCCATGCCCCCTTACCCCGCAGTCGCTCGAGTGGTAGCGGCAGTCGGGCCTCGTCGAGCTCGTAGAAGGACAAGCCGCGCTTCTTTTGGCCGGCGAAGTAGATGTGCCACACGGCGGTACAGGCCTAAGATGGCGTGAGAGCGACGAGGAGGAAGGTGAGGAACACGACGTTTCGAGTAGGGGATCGACTACATAATCGATTTACCCCAGAATTGATCTTCTCGTCGAGCCCGTGAAAAATAGGTTGCATGCAACGTAGATCTACTAACATTTTATGCATGTTACATGGATTCGACGAGAGCATCAATTTGGGGGTAAATCCATTATGTAGCCGATCCTCTACTCGAAGGATGGGACGCCAACATTGCACCAGCCTGGGCAGGCCCATCGCCGCCCCGCCGCCGTCGTCGCCGTCCCCCTTCAGCGCCGACGGCACCGGCCGTGAGGCCTTCCCAATCTACGTGCCACGCGGCGGTGCAGGCCCTAGAGGACGTGAGGAGCAACGCGGAGGCAGGCGAGAAGCACGAGGACGGGTCGCCAACAGTGCACCAACCGCGATCCTGGCCATGCCCATCCTGAGCCCAGGGTCGGCGTCGATGCCACCAGGGCCAAGCCAGGAGGGCGCTTGCACCGAGGGCAGGCCAGGATTCTGCTGTTCCCATCGTGCTTGGGGACCGCATCCGACACATACTTTCGCGAGCACCGGGACAAATATCGAAACAATGTCTGTCCGACACGCTAGCAAAATTTCCAACGAATATCGCCTCCGAAGGCCCGGCACGGGAAAACCCTCTAGTTTCGGTCTTTCCCTGGTGCTCGAAATTCTTTCTGGTCATCAAGGCTGAAGCAGGTTGGAAGAATATCATAGGCAAGGATCAGGTCATGCTTGGCACTTGGCGGCCTGCGAATGGACAGGAGCGGGGGGGGTGCAGCGGGAAAGAGTCAACATCAGAGCCCTGGGATCCGCTGGAGAGGAAGGAGGGAGGCAGGGAGGGAGGCAGGCAGGCAGGGCAGGTGTATTGGAGAGGTTGGAGGCAGAAGGACAGACGGAGTGAGCGGGGGCGAGGGATCAGGAGGGGAGTCAGAGGAGGAAAAAACACACATACTGCTACCCTTCCCTCGTGTTTCCCCTTTTGAGCCTCCTGGAAGGCCCTCGTCGCCACCGCTGAATTCGCCTCGACATCCTGGTCAGAACGCACCCCGGAAGAGGTCCGGAGGTCCGGGCAGGTACAGTATCGGTACCTCTTGGTTTCCCCACGGAGGGGTGTTAGCCGGAGGAGGAACAAGAAAAAGGCTGCAGATGTTCTCCGACCCGCATCGCGGGGCGGACATGTGGCATTCATTGGAGGGGTAAACACATCCGTCAAACCAACACCACGTCTGCTCTCCAGTGCCCAGCCGCCCCATTCGCCCCACGAGTTCCAGCTGGCAGATTTTCCTGGCCATCCGGCTACAGCAGGCCGCCAGCCACGCCTCGCCAGCCACGATTCGCCTAAGCCGCTAGCCTGCTGCGCGCTGTCACCTGATCATCGTCAACACCATCCTCAAACATGGTCACGATAACGTTGCGGGGAAGGCATCCCTGCCCGCTTCATACGGGCGAGCATACGAGTCAAGAGACACGTCTGTATCCCAAGGCCTCTCAACGGTTATGCACTTCTGCTGTGTGGTCAGGGGCTCCCGGGCACATCACACATGGCCAGTGGTAATTGGATGGAAGACGGAGAGGCAGGAGGCACGAGGGGCTCTTGCCGAGCAGAGGAATGGCCCGCTCAACTGCTCCACACTGGGAGAGCGCTGAAACCCTGAGCCCCGCACGATTACAAAGGAGGGGAGGTGCACGGGAAGTCTGGGTATCCTCATCGCGGACATGAAGATGGAAAAAGTGCACCACTACCCGAACCCCCACAGACCCGTTTTGGGCCCGGAACTAGCGTACTGTAGAAAATAAGGTCACACGAACGTGGATCAAGAGCATGGGCCCCTGCGCCGAGAGCCCAGGGCCCCATGGAGATATCCAAAACGAAGAGCATTTCAACGTTGAAAACCCAACGGCGAAAAACGTAAGGGTACCCGTCGAAAGTTAAGATTCTTCTTAACCCTCATGCCAGCTGTATTTCGGCTCCACGCCGAACAAGAAAGACATCTTTTACACCAAGATCTTGCCCCGCGAAACGGGCCCGCGAATGTGTGGCGGTTGGGGGGGGCAAGCCGTAGGGGAGGGGGGAGAAGAGGGTGAGCATGCCCTGGCGGACTCTACTATGTTTTTGTGATTGTCTTTGCTTCCCTGTGATTCTGCACTTTCTGCTGCCACCGGCAATAAATCGGTGACCATGTGTACCTTGTCTCTGCTGCGCGCAACCGCCTAGACGCTATGTATGGCCAACTGGTTAAACACAAGGTGAGCGGTTCCGCGCGTGGTCCGTGCGCCGCGCCACGTCTCGCCTAGTTGCTGCTAGATGCCTCACGCTCGACCTCTGATCGTCTACAGCCCAATGCACAAGGGGATCGCGGCGCGAACAAGACGTCCCGTCCTTGTCGCCGTTGGAGAGCTCGTCTAAATTCCACCTGGAGGAGCAAGAGAGGGGGAAAGGGGATTCGCACAACGGGGGGGGGACGGGGAGAAATGTGAGAAAGAATGGTGGAGGGAATGGGAGGACGGGGGGGTAACGGGAAAAGGCAGGGGTGGCACAACGATTCGCTCCATGCTGCGGAACAAATTCCGACGTGCTCGCTACAATGAACAAGCGTATACTCATCCCGGAACCTCTCGGAGGGTTCGTTCTGACAAAGCCTACGAGGCGAATCCAGCAATGGCGACCAGGATCCCCCAAGGCGGCCCACTACGGCAACAATGAGGCAAGGGCATCGATATCGGCATGCGTTTCCCGTCGCAGCTGAACTGATGCCTCGCGCTCTCAGCAAGCCGACTCACTGCACTACGAAGAAACTCAACGAAGGCCACCTGTTTGTGACGAAACACGCCTCCTGGTTCCAACCAATACGCGGAATTCTACAGCCAGCGGGAAGGACGAGGGATGATTGAGGATAGTCGAGGTTCGATGATGCCATGCTTTGTAGACGTTTCGACGATACTCGAGCCTCTGCGGGTCTCTGATCGCCTCTGCGCATCCTTTTGGGGATCTCTGTGGGCCCCGCATGAGCAACGCAGTGGCAACGGCAGCGCAAGAATCGCGAACGTGTAAATCCACGGGTTCCATGTTTTGAGCGCGCAAAGCGCCTTTCCTCATGTTGCCGACTGACACCAATACCACCTCTCCAGCGGAAATCCACCGACCCTGTCGGCGTGTGAAGGGTTCTTCCGTTCGACTCGTCCTCTCCGTCGTACACGACGGCCACTCAGCAAAATTCGGAAACGTCGTCTGAGCATCGAAAATGAGCCCCTTCCCTTATTCACTCCCCCGCCGGGAGGGGGGTGCTGGGCTGGGGGGTGGGGGGGGGTCCAGGGGGCTGCACCCGGGTCAAATGCGACGGCCTGCCTCCCTGCGGCGACCGAACGAACGCATGCGAGTACCTCAGAAACTTCCAAGACGGCCCACGAGCGCTTCAGGATGCCCACGATGGCTCTAAGACGGCCCAAAACTCCCCCAAGAAGCTTCACGCGCGCTCCCAGAGGACCCTGAAGAGGCCAGGAAAAAACAAACATCATTGATTTTCCAATAGTTGTTTAATCGTGTTTGAGGGTTTTTCCCCAGTCTACCTTCCGACGCTCCAGAACAGCGCAACAGCCCCCCAAGAGCTCCCCAAAATAGCCCAAGAGGCTCCCGCGAGAGCCCCGTGACTTCCCAAGAGTGCTCCGAAACACTCCAACAAGCGCCCACGACGGCCCACGAGGGCTCCGAGACGGCCCCAAGACAGGCTCACTCATGAGAGGAAACGCGACCCGAAAATCCGAGCCTCCCGCCCGAAGAAGCCCCCAGGAAGCGCCCAAACGCCTCCAAGAGACCAAAGAGGTCCCCGAGAGGCCGAGGCCCCTAGAGGCGCCAGGAGGCAGAACAAAAAAACACCCCCAGGAGGCGCTACACCGGTTGAAGAGGCTTCGATACTGCCTCCAAGATTCCTCTGAGCAGCATCCCATGAAACCCTTTCCACCTCGCCTGGCTACACTCCCTCCTTCGAACCATGCGTGCGTTTATTTAATACGTTTTCTATTGCGTACGCCGACCCCGTCCCCCATCGAAACATCCGCCAGACCCTCTTCGGGGACACAGAGTGCCGTAGGCGAAGCACCTACCCTCTGCAACCCTGTCCCAAACCTCACCCCGAGTCCGCCGCCTGCCAATCAGCCACTCTAACGAAGTGCGTCAGGTAATACTACAAATGCCCCCTCATCGTCCTCCTATTCCTCCGCCCCGTCTTCACCGTCCCCGCACTGACCATTGTCCTCCCCCAGACTCCCTCCTTTCCCGCCTCCCCCCCATCCTCCTCCACACCCTCCTGCTCCTCACCTCTCATGCTCCAAAGCATCCACGTCATCCTCCTCCTGCCCCTCCCGCTCTTCCCCCTCCAACCCTTCTCCTCTTCCGCATCCCCCTCCTTCGTATCCTCCTCCTCATCATCCTCATCCTCCTGATCCTCCTCCTCTTCCTGCTCTCCTCCCCTTCCGCATGATCTTACACCCGAGCTCCGCAACCTCACCTGAACCTCTCCCTCCCCATCCCCATCCTCCTCCTCCTCCTCCAGCCCCTCCTCCTTCCCTCCTCCACATCCTCCTTCTCCTCCGACTGCTCCTCCTCGTCCTCCTAAATATGATTCTCCCCCGAGCCCTCCCCTGCCGATTCTCGCCCTCCTCATCCTCCTGCGCATCCTGCTTCTCCTCCTGCTGCTCCACCGCGTCCTCCAGGTCCTCCCCCTGCCCCTGCTGCTCTTCATTATCCTCTTCTTTCATGTCGTCTTCCTCGTCCTCGTCGTCATCGTCTTCAGGGTCGGCGGCGCTGGTCTTAAGGCCTTCGCAATAGGGGAGGCGAGCTACGCTCGTGTTCAGTCCTCCCTGTCGCCTCTGCTCGCTACCCCTACACTGCCGTGACGAAAGTTTATGCGGTTTGGTATGATGTTGGAATATCCGATACCTTTGATGATTCCCAACATGGGAAGATCGCCCCTGCGCTCCCACGGAATACTCTGGGTACTTCTTGATTGCTAACTCTGTTATCTCAAAATATGTAATGAACAATGGAGCTGTATGCATGTCCGCACGGAGTAATGTTTACTCCGCCTACTCCGCCAGTCCTCTTGCACGCAGACCACATGATACTCTATCACGGCGGAGAAGTATGCGGGACGCGCAGACAATGTGCGACATTAGGTATTGCCAGAAACAAGACCAATAATCCCAGCAAGGCACCCTAGTGGTAAAATGCTGAGATGTTCCGCAGAGCCTCTCTGAGAGGCTCTGTGAATTGAGAGGCTCCTGAAAAGGGTCTCCGAGCGGGTCCTGACAGGGCCCTGAGAGGGCAGCGACATCTGGACATCGGAGCGGCTGCGAGGCAACAGCCTCGCATGACAAGGCCCGCGATCGCAGACGATCGAAACTATCTGGTCCGAGCCTCCTCCTGGTCCCCATGTATGAGGGAGCGTGTTTTTCGGCGGCGCGTTTGAACAGGGCGCCCCCCCCCCCCCCAACAGTCGGCGCCGTTGAACAGAACCAGGGGGACTCCCCTCCCCTCTCCCCCCCACTCCCCGAACGCACCCTCCCTCCAGACGGGGGGGGTTCGAACCCCCCCGGCGCTGGCCCCAGCGCCGACGGCGCCGACGGCGGCGGCGGCAGCTGGCATCGCCGACGCCCACATCCACGGCCACACCCACATCCTCGCCCACGCCCACGCCCACACCCACGCCCAGCCCCACGCCCACGCCCACGCCCACGCCAACGCTCACACGCACGACCACGCCCACATCCGAGCTCACGCCGACGCCCACACCCACGCCCACGCCGACGCCCACGCCCACGCCGACACCCACGCCGACGACACCCACGCCCAGGCCCAGGCCCACGCCCACGCTCATACCCACGCCCGCGCCCACGCCCAGGCCCACGCCAACGTTCATATGCACGCCCACGCCCACGCCCGCGCCCACGCCCAGGCCCACAACCACGCCCACGCCCACGCCAACGCCCACGCCCGCGCCCACGCCCACGCCCACGCCCACACCAACGCTCACACGTACGCCCACGCTCACGCCCACACCCACGCCCATGACCACCCCCACTCCCGCGCCCTTTCCCGCGCCCACGCCCAGGCCCGCGCCCAGGCCCACGCCCACGCCACGCCCACGCCAACGACCACGCCCACGCCCACGCCCACGCCCACGCCCGCGCCCACGCCCACGCCCACTCCCGCGCCCACACCCAGGTCCAGGCCCAGGCCCACGCTGGCGCCGGCGCAGGCCCGGGGGGGGGGCGGTTCCGGACCCCCCCTCTCCGAGCGCCTACAGAACGTGCTCTTTCCCAAGTGTCAAGATGCCTAGAGACAAACGAATACACAAATCCCAGAATTCCAATACTTTTCCATATCTTACTATATTGTCATAGGAACCAACGTTTATACCTCTCTCTATATATATATGAATATGTGTGTGCCGATTTCTCCGTCCTGAATGCACATGCGCAGGCTCGAGGCGTGCCAAGGCGGGCGCGAGAACAACGAAGCGCGGGCGCACGCTCTCTGGCCGCTCTCTCTCTCTCTCTCTCTCTCTCTTTCTCCAACTCTCTGCTGAGTTAGAAGTGAGAATCTGCCACTGTAACTTGAGCAGGGACCGACCGTCCGGGCATGCCTATAGTCCTACCACGACATGTTCTTAGAACCTCGAAGTGTTCTAATAACAAGCATCATGTTCTTAGAACATAAACCCGATGTGTTAACACAATACTGTCTCAGCCACACATGCTCTAAGAACACTTCGTGCAGACCACGAACGGTTCCTAGAACATTATTTGGTGGGCCTATAGGCGAGCCAGGACGCTTCGCAACTGCTTGAGTAACGTAGGCACTGCGTCGAACGTGTTCCAGCCCCCTTCTAGCTACATGTGCAGACGGTCTGCCGAAATAAGAAACGCTGGATAGGGAACGAAGCCCCATTTTGGCGCCAACATCGCCTGGGTGCACGAGGAGGGCTAGAAGAACAGCGACGGAATGACCTCAGGAGCAGCGAGACCCTTCCGAACCCCAACCGGTCCTTATTTCAGCGTTGATTGGTGTGTGTGTGTGTCTATTTCCCTCCTGAGAAAACTACGCGGGGTTGTTTTCTTTCTCTGGAACTCCTCGTCGCCCTGCCACCTGGCTGAGACGAAGCGAAGACGAGGACAAATTCGGCTGAGGATAAATCGTGCACCTCTGAGATCTGGCGGCTCTAGAGGATGTATCGGGCGCAACGGCCTTATGAGGGCGTTCTGGAACGCTGTGAGAGCATTCAAGAACGCTCCAAATCGCTCTGGAATAAATTTATGCTTATCCTAGCCCCGTCCGACGGGCCCCTGCCCAACCGAACCGGGAGTGCCCTCTGCAGGGCCCTGGGAGGTCCGGGCACAGGCCGCCAGAGTGAGGAAGGGCGGCAGGGCGGCGTCGACATCGCGGCGTCCCTTGCCCCATGGGAAGGGACCCAGAGGCGTCCACGAGTGCGAGGCGGGGATTTATCCATGACCACCGCCAGGGAACCGACGTCCTGGCACCCCATCGGGCGGGGCGGTACAGATGGATATATTTGGGCCCCAGGGGCCCCGAACATATCCATATCCAAAGCCTGCTGAAGAGGTCGATTCCCCAGGCACTGGTTATGGATAGATCCCCGCCTCGGAAGAGGGGCATTCAAGAGAACGGGGATGCAAATCATGGCAGGCGGCACGTGCGCGGCCCCAGGGGGGGGGGGGGCTGGGGACGCATTGAAATTAGAAGAGGCGCTTGAATTCTGGGGAGATAGCATGGCCATGGCCATGTCCACCCGCCTAGCCATCCCCGCCCCCCTGGCCGCCCCCGAAGGACGGGAGGGCCCCAAGCCGGGAGGCCGCGTGGCGTTATGCTTCCCTCGGCGCTGGGGAAGGGTCTGCCCGAGCCGAACGCCCTTGCAAAAAACACGGCTCGTGCAGGCTAGTCGCAGAATACGGATGCGCGGGAAGGATGGAAAGGGCCTTGCAAGGCCGTGTTGGCCTTCTCGAGAAGGGCTGGCCAGCGTACTCGCCAAGGATGGGCCGAAGGGGCATGGATGTAAGGGTTGCCTTGAAAAGATGCTCGTCCATACTATGCGACTTGACTGCGCCCCCTCGCGCCGCAAAACAAGATAACGACGGAATTAGGTCGCCCAATCTTCGGCCTCCACGGACCCTCCAAAAGCAATTCGGGGCGGGGTGACATGCCGGCCCCCGGGAAGTGGTCGAGACATCCTGGGCGGGCGTGACAAACACTACGTCAAATGTATGGGGGGAGGACAAGCGGGAGGACAACAATCAGCGCGGCGCCGCTTTTAGCCTCGAGAAGCGGCGGCTACGTTGGCGCGCGCGTGGGTGTTCAAGGGGGCGCGTCCAACAAAAGTTCCTGCACTCCACAAGCCTTATTTGCATTGAGCCGCCCGACGGCATGCGATCATCAGACAGGTCCCCCGCTCGCCTCAAGTTCTGCGGGGCGTTCTGTTTCATCTCTTCCTGCGGAGGCGCGGGGCACGAGGCGGGTGGTAGTTGCACGCGGGCCATCACGGTGCATGTGATACAGGTACACATACACACATACACCGATGTACACATAGATGTATGTTAGCCAGCGCGGGCCCCAAACCATGTGTTTCTAACATCATACGCTGTGCAGGCTAAGTGGAACAATATACGTGGTGCAGCGCATGTGAAGCAACCTATGGTGTGCAATGTATGGTGTGCTTTCTTCGTGATGACACCTATGTTGTGCAATTAACGAATGCTGCTTGGCGCTGCCTGGCGCACCGCCGCGGCCGCGCTAGCGCGCGCAGGCCCGCGCTCACAGCGGCCAAGTCTGGCACGACCGACGCTGCCGCGGTGGCGTTGACCGCCGGGGACTTCCCAGCGCGCTTCGCAGGCCGCGCGGACGCGCGGGCACTTTGGTGCGACTCGGTGACTCGGGCGGGCGCGGTATTACCATGGCGACGTCGACAACTGCAGACGCGATGATGTTAGCAGCGATGCTGGTTGCGACGATGACGGTGACAATGACGACGGCAAGGCCAATGACGGCGTCGATGCTGATCACGCCGAGAAAGATGATGGTGGCCACGTGTCGATGATGAAGGTGTTGGGAGGATTTCGACATGCGCGTGCGGCCGACGGGCGCGAGTGGGCCGCTTTGTGCCATCTGCAAATGATCGTGCCACACCCCAGCACGCGCGTAAGGGCATTCGAATGATTCCGACATGCGCGCGCGAAGGACCCGTTTGGTCGCATGTGATGGGAATTCTCGAGTAGAAATGGGTTTCGGAAGAATTCGCAGGAGCGCGCGCGGAGATATGTTTTGACAAGCCATGCTGCAAAGACCTGTATCGCTTGTTTGTTTTCGGGGCACTCGATGTAGAAAGTCTTGCGATGCCTAAGTTGTTTGAAGGATTTCGGCATGAGCGCGCGACAATGTGTGAGTGCGAACTTCGCACCATGTGATGCAACACATCCTTGAAAGTTGCTGGTGTTGGATGAACACATGTGCGCGCATTATGCTTGTTGCAGAAGATGGTGTATGTGGGAGGGCAGAAGATGGTGGAAATTCATAAGTCGAAAGAACTATGGGGCATACTCATTTGTCAATTTCACATCCCCGGGGGGGGGGGGTCGAGAATCCCGACCTCGAGGGGGTGGTAGATCCGTATTCTTTTCTAGAAAACAGAACATGTGTGGTGCCCAATCGATGTGGTACAATTCCTGTTATGCGGCGGCGACGGCGAGAACACAGCCGCCAGACCGCCACCCAAGCCCAAACGACGGGCGGCAACGAGGCGGCGGCGGGGCAACGACGGCGACAAAATACCCGCCAAACCGTCATCCAAGCCCAGACGACGGGCGGCGACGAGGCGGCGACGGCGAGAACACAGCCGCCAGACCGCCACCCAAGCCCAAACGACGGGCGGCAACGAGGCGGCGGCGGGGCGACGACGGCGACAACATACCCGCCAACCCGTCATACAAGCCCAGACGACGGGCGGCGACGAGGCGGCGACGGCGACAACATAGCCACTAGACCGCCACACAGGCCCAGACGACGGGCGGCAACGAGGTGGCGACGGCGAAAACATAGCCGCTAGACCGTCACACAGGCCCACTTCATGTGAAAAGAAATAATACTACGTAAGTGCAAGCACCGTTTGGGGAATATTTGCACCATTCGACAGAGAGAGAGAGAGGGAGAGATATGGCGAGGAAACGAAGAGACAAACAGAAAGAGAGAGAGAGAGAGAAAGGAAGACAGCACGACTGAAAGAGAGAGGAAGCTATAATGAAATGGGCCACAACCAACTCCTGGGCATTAGAATAACGGCAGAGACCAGATGGGGGGCTCCAACAACCTCCTAGGTGCACAACGAGGCTTCAAATTCCGTCGAACTCAGGTACACAGGTATCGGACCGACAACTGCTGCTTTGAGGCACTGTCGTGCTGACCAAGTCCCGAAGGGATAGGAAGCATGTGGAGAAGGACTTCAAGGACGATGCTGTGTCGGAGTCCTGATACTTCTTCACCTTCACCGAACCAGCAACATAGCACAACATGTGGACTTGTCGGCATGCCGAATCGTAGCGTACTCATTGCAGTTCCCACAGCGGCAAATGCGAAGGGAAACAGACACACGCCTCGGGATGGCAAACGGTTCAAGTGGGCAGCGGGAAAACGCAGAGGCGGCCGCATGAAGCGCACTAGGTCTCATGGACAGAACTACCCATCGAAGAGATACTCTGGCCACCCCCCCGGTGAACCCCTCCGTTCGGGAACAAAGAATGGCATGCGACGTGAACATAAACTGTCGGAGGTACGCGCGCGCGGACTGCTTGGATAGGCGCTGGACCTCCCTCCCTGGCGCGCGGAGCGCGCCAGGGGCCTCCAGCGACGATTCGAGAACCCCGCGCGGACCTTCAACAGTTCATGTCCATGCCATCGCTGGTTCCCCGGGAAGTGCCCATCGAAGAGATCTCCTGGCCAACCCCCTGGCCAACCTTTCGACCCCTGCGGGGGCAACCCTTGCCAAGCGAGACAGCGCAAAGGAAGAGCCGCAGCGGGGGCAAACCGATCGCACGAGCGGGGCTGCGGGGAGACCGACGGAGGCCAGGGCGCGAGGGCGACGCCTCGGTCACACCGCCGCGCGCCCACCACCGCCCGAGACGGAGCCGGCACGCACCCTCGCACGACGAGCTCGACCGCGACTTCGACGGACCGTCAAGGTCGACAAGCTCGACGAGATAGGTCGACGAGCTCGACGAGATGGGAGCGTGCCATTCACACAACGAGCTCGACGAGATACGACAGCGCCTCAGAAGTGGTCAAGAGGCCGAATGACCACACGGCCGAAAGAGCCTCGCAAGCGGGGCAGCTGCTGAACACTGATTCTGACATGCGCCGTCTCGCAATCACGAACCAGAGCACTGGCAGGGTGGAGGCTGGCAGGAGCGCAGGTGGTGGAAAAGCAGGATAAGGAAATGTCCAACTCTTCGATCGTGGTTCAGCGCGTGAGGCCCCCCCCTACACGGGATCAACCTTGCCTCGTCGGTGCAACCCGCCGCATGTTGGAGCGCCTTCGGTGGTTGTCTTCGACAGGTGTCGGTTTGGGGATGTCGACAGGGGCGGAGCCCCCCCCCTGCGCTTCTTACAGGATCAATCAGCAGCGACTCGCGAACTTGAGCGCATCGATATGCGCGTCGGATATGGCTACGTCGGCACGAACTAGAAATCATGTCGGATAGGCTGCGCAAAGATGCACAACAACGCCATGCAAACACTGGGCCGCAACGGATGCTCGTAATATCATAATCGAATCGGATCGGGCCTTTCGACACCGATATCGAGTCGGATCGATCGGGTCGAAATGGAGACTCTTGCTGTGGAGCTGGAAGTACAGTGTGGCCAGATCACAAGCACGCGCGGTGAGGATGCAAGGCCCCAGGCGCCCGAGCTGAAGCCGAATTCGGCATGGCTTTCATTTGCCCGCATGGCTGCGGGCAAAAGTCTGGGATGGGCCAAGAGGCAAGGATGCAAAAGGCGCACCCTGGGAACACTGCTCACTGGGGAGACACAAAGAAACAAAGACCGATACCGCTACACGTCGGTCGGAAGCAGTAGGTAAAACACTGTAGTAAGAAGGCGATAAAGCAAATTGGGTCCAGGCCCTCCCAAAGAATGACAAGCCATAGCAAAAGCTATCGATGTTTGAAGTAAGGGAAAAGCTTGAAAAAAATCGGGATCTGGGAACCCCAAAGACCTACCTACTTTCAACGACCAGCGTGTACCGATATCGCTACTCCCCGGAATTCTCCTGGGGTGCGTTGTGGCCAGAATTTCAAAGCAAATCCAGCCGTGGCGACGAGGGCCTCCCAGGAGGCCCCGAAAGGCGAAAACGATGAGAGAGTAGCGGCGTCGGCACCTTTTCGTCCTCATACTCATTTCTTATGATGCTGTCATGCTGCAACTACTGAGCGCACGCAGCTGTATCTCCGCACCAGAGGTGCACCAACACGGACAGGTAGAGGCCTCCTAGATCCTAGATCCTAGATGGGGTCCGGGCATATGGGGTCAAAAATTCGCGCCGCATCGGCGATGCACTGGCCATGCATCGGCGATGCATCAGCGACGTCGGCGATGCACCGGCGATGTTGGCCTTGAGCAACTCGGGCCCCACATGGAGCCACAGCCGCATCGGCGATGCGGCGGGGTCCTCGGGTGGCTTGCACCCCCTGGACCAGGGGGTGCAAGCCACCCTCCAACACAGAAATCTGGAGACACATCGCGTGGGCCGTTCTGTCTCTGGGAAGGAACTTCTGGAAAGCTTCGGATTCTGGGGCGAAGCCAGAACGAACTCCAGGGCTACCCTTGCCTGCCGGCTTCTAATCTGACACCCTCTAGCTCTCTACGAGCTATCCAGGAATTAGCGAACGCTCATGCCACATTACTCTGTCAATTCCCCCCCCCGGAAGGATTGATGGTTGGCGGCGGGTTGGATGGTATGCACTTCGACCGCAGTCTTGCTAGCTCGTGCCAACTTTGCATTTTGGGCAGAAGGGACGTGTCCACAAACTGTTTCCATCTACCGTAGGGGGCCTGGTAGGCCTGACCCAAGAGGGCCTCCACGCCTTCGAAGCCGGACCCTCCCAGCAGGCCACACGAGGCGCCGACGGGGCACCAAGAGATGACAAGTGGGCCTCTTTTCGGACACCCTGAAGGGCGTCAGGGCGGATATCCCCCTTTTAGATCGACGGCTTCCGCGTGGGGCATCGATAAGGGGGGGGGGGGGGCTGGCACAGGGGGCAGACGTCGATCTGGAATTGGCGGTACATCGCCGATGGATCGGCGATAAGCCGCCGATGGCGAATCCGCATGTTTCCTCGCAGGGTGGGGCTACCAGACCCCTATCGGCGATCAAAGGGCGCTCGGGGGTCGACGCACTCCCCCCCTATGCCTATCCCCACCTCTCGTTGTCCATGACCAGGGGGGGCACACCAAATCGACACACTTGCCAGAATGTGCTTCAATCCTGTGCTTCTGATTTTAGGTTCGGGGTCCGGGGGGGAAAATCAAGGTTTTCCCGGAGATCGCAGCATAATGATGAAGATGCTGACGATGATGATGATGATGATGATGATGATGATGATGATGATGATGATGATGATGATGAAGATGCTGACGATGATGATGATGATGATGATGATGATGATGATGATGATGATGATGATGATGATGATGATGATGATGATGATGATGATGATGATGATGATGATGATGATACTGGACGCTGTATAGAATTCCTTAACAAAATTCTTAGGAATCCGTATGAAATCCATGAGATTCCTTAGGGCATCCATCGGATCCCGTGGGACATCTAGAAGAATTCCTTGGGACATCAATCGGATTCCTAAGGAAAACCATCGGAATCCTTTGGAAATCCATTGGATTCATGAGGAAATCCAATAGGAATCCTTAGGAGATACATCGGAATCCTTAGGAATCCTTTCTAGTCAACATAATAAGATAGCAACTTCGATTCGCAACTTTCCCCCATGATAATGAAGTTCGGCCTTGATGCCCCTCTTCCCCGACCAAATCTGCATTTTCTGGGATGTTGAACTCTCGCGTGGGAAAAGGGGCCCCAGAGGCCGAAAATAAAAAAGAACCAGCCGTCGCACTTTCTCATGACTCGAGGGGGTTTGGGAAGCCGGGGATGAGCAAATCCGCCGCCCTCCCTGCCCTCCCTCCGGGAAGCCTCAGCACCGCTCCCGACCGGAGGCCCACGACCGGACGCAGAGCCCATGAGGGCCCGGGTCCCCTGGCGTGGCGAGACCTTGCCTCCCGCTGGGCGGGCGGAGCCGCGGCGTCGAAACCAATGGCGAACTTCTCGTCCTTGAGCGTCATGTCTTCGACGACGCAGTCTTCGCTATACCTCGAATGGGCAAGACGCGAACAAAACTCTGGCACCCGCCGCTCGCGAGAAGGTCTTTGGAGAGCCAGCCAGCCACCCTGGAGGACGCGTCGAGCGCTGCGGCTCTCGGAGCGCCCCAGCACGCTCTGAGACTGTCCCCGGGATCTCGGCCCCACCC